TTTATTGTTTCATATGCATATTGTATGGTTTAGGCCTGTGTTTTTAAGTGAACCAAAGTCATGTCAAGTTTCCATTTTATATGTCAAGTCTCCATCTTGTGTCCTCTGCCTGGGCATCCCATGTTGCAATAATATGATTCATTGTACTCCTCCCATGTAAATTCATTCCCCAATGAATGAGAATGATTGAGAATGATTGAAATACAACGGTAAATTATTGTAGCAGGCCTCTACTGAATGGCCTGTAATGGCCATCACCTCACATTGATTCACCCAGGAACCATGGACCTCACCCAGTAACAGAGACAAGACCAGTATTTGAAAACAAAAGACCCTGCAGAACCAGCAACTCTATCATTGCACCCCACCATTACAGACACCTGAAACTGCACATCCCTGCATGGACCACGCATGCCCAGTAAATCAGGGGCTGACCCTTGCCTGGGCATGCCTCCTGTCACTAGGGTCACACACGGTGTGCCCCTATAAAAAGGGGCAGTGAAGATGTTGAGCCCCAGCTCAAGTCTGGGATCGTGCCCGGTATGCAAAAGCCAATAAAGATACCAGGGGTGAAAGTATAAAGATTTATTGCTAGCAATACAAGGTGCAAGCGGAATAATTTCACGTAACAAGCACACAGATTCTTAATTATGAGCATCTTTTATACAGGAGTATTGGACCTTCATAAGCATTCTTGTTTGCTAATTGGTTATAAGGGAGTGACGCAAGGAGTTCTTTACTGAGCATGTCTCTATACCTGTGTTTTAGCTATGTATCTCATTTCCATACATGTATGTTTCATTAGCATACTTTCTCCCCACCCAGGGGTGTGATTCTCAATATTCAAATCAGCTCTTTGCCCTAGTCCTCTGATTCTGCTTTTGTTTTCAAGCCTCCTTTATCTAAGACTGTCTCCTCCTTATCATTGCAGATGGGCATTAGTTACATAACAGAGACTTTTGCTTGGGCTATGTGTAGTGGTTTCTAGGTCAAACCTGACAATAACACTGAGGGTGTTGAGGGTAAATCCATGGCAAAAATCTTAGCCATTGCTACTAAAACTTTTAATGGAAGGAAAGAAAAAAAGAAAAAAAACAAAACAAAAGGAAGATCAGTCCAACATTCGCATGTTGGCAGCAGTAATACAGCCCACAAATCCGTATAAAACCAATCTGCCCCGTGGCCCGAGGCCCTTTGTGCCTAGGCCACCGGGCCGAACTCACCAACCGTACGGGCCCAACGTGTGTCATTACTGTAAAAAGGAAGGACACTAAAAAAGAGAGTGCAAGTTAAAACCAAAAAGTCCTTTCTCTGCTTTCCTGCTACCCCTGCTGCCTCTCAGTCTCTTCTGACACTTTTCCTGTGATTTTCTGCTGTCCCTCTGCTTCCCACACTCCTACTGCCTTTTCTCTGTGACTTTCTGCTGCATCTCTCTGCTTTCTTGCTGCCCCTTCCACCTTTCAGTCTTTCCTGCTGCTTTTTCTGTGATTTTCTGCTGTCCATCTCTCTGTTTTCAGGCTCCCCCGCTCAACGGCTTCCCAGACCTCTCTAGCTGCCCCAGAGCAATCCTCTGGCTCCCCCACACCCAGAGCCCCTCTTAAACACCCACACTTTCCCTTAGTCCCATTTTTCCCTCTCCCCATCTACCTTTTCAGCTCCCCCATAGCTCTGGCTCCAGTCCCAGCCTCTGTGCCGGCACGCTTCCCTGTTCTGCAGGATTTGGGAGTTGTCTTTTAATCAATTAAGATCATTTAACCTAAAGTTACCCCAGAGCCTCAGTTCTTTGGTCCAGGCCCCTGTAGTTTACCGGTTCTAATCCAGGTCCTGGTAACTTTAACTCCTTTCACTTCTACTTTCTTACCTTAACCTTTCCCCAGGTATCCCAAGTACACCAAGCACATACATACATACAGATCACAACACCTAACTTAGGAACTGACCTGTGTGTATGTGTAGGTGGCTGGTATGTGTGTAAATTAGTGAATACACATATATACACATATATAGATATCATTGTGTGTGTGTGTGTGGGGTATATGATTTAGTAATCCACGTATGTGTATTGGATGTGCAGGTGTTGGTAACTGGTAACCGATTCTGTCTAAATTTGCGGGGGTGTAGCATGTATGGGCTTAAACTAGGGATAGGTGTGCATGAACCTAAACTAATTATTTTGAACGTGTGTGTATCTGAGCTGCTAGTGTGAGTGTGTATGCCTAGTAGTGATGTATGCACCTAGTAAGTGTATGTGTGCTTAATTTTTTGTGTGCATGTTCAATTGTACACCACACCCTCCTGTCTAACAGCACAATATTGAGATCCTGAGCATTGGCCTGACCCCTCAGGGAAACAAGATTTGGTACTATTAAACAGAGAAAGAAGAAACAGGAAAAGGGAGCTAATTTGGGGTCTGAAAGGAGATTCCTGGGGGATGACTCCACTATTAGAGAATGTTGAGAGCTGGGAGAGTAGTAGAGAGGCTTGCTTCCTGATTTCCTCAAACTGGAAAACTGAAGCTGGAGGATCAGAAAAGCAGAAACTGGTCCAAGACAGCCAAGGGCTAAGGAGCAGTTAAGGGCTTGCTCCCTGTGACCTGCCCAGGGCAGAGAATAAACAGTACAGACCTTAGAAAATAGTGCAGAATGGGGGTAGCTGGAGAAAGAGACTGAGAAAGAGCCTTGGTGTTGGATAATCTGAATGTCAACATACGGTGTTTTAGTATTTTTTAAGACTCTAGATACAGGGATGCACGGACTATGTGCAATCTTCAAAAAACATCTTGACACCCATCTTGCTGGGGTCATCTGATCCCAGTAGTCTTTCCTGCCCATGTGCAGGGAGGCTGGAACTAATGATCTGTCAGGTCCCTTCCAGTCCCTAACAACTATGAAAGTATGAAACTATAGGTGTACTTTTACATTTTCTTCATATTTGCTCAACATAGGCCATAGTCAACAGGGAGGATGGCATGTGTATGGGGGCAAGGAGAGGTGAGCAGAGATGTCAGGGGGAGACACATGAAATTGAAAGGGATTTCAAGCATTTTGATGTAGGCAAATGCTAAACAGGAGAGCTTATAGCAGAAGCAGATGCATTTCATTGGTTCCCCACATTTTTCCTTGGCTTTTGAATTCTAAACAGTACAAATTCCTGGCAGGAATCACAGGAAATGATGAAGGCAGATAGCAGGGAGACAAAATAATATAGACAGAATAAGGCTTGAGCTGCTGTGGGTAGAAAATGGAAGGAAGAAGTTCTCTGTTTTAACATTTCACCTCCTCCCAACCTTCTTTCTCTGTGTTCAGAAAGTAACCACCACTGGCCTCTGTAGGCTTGAAATGAACTGTTTTAGCAGGGAGGGTATGCAAAATTGATTACTAATGCAGTTTTTAATTCCCTCCTCAACCCAGTTCTTTTCTAATGAACCAGGAGAAACTCCAGAGATGACTCCTGAGAGACTCCCTGTTTCAACTATTCCCAATTTAGGCATGCTTTTTTGCCAAGACCCGAAACATAGCAACATTTCTGCAGGGACCTTCAGCCTTGATTACCTTCATACTCTTTCTGTCACTGCTCACCCTAGGGTCCTCCAATATGTTGCCCCAAGTGTAACTAACAGAAAATTGTTTTCCAAATGAGTTTGGCTAGAGTATTTAGGCTAGACATGGGAAAATCAGGCTTGGCAGGTCTAGTCTTGAGGTATGTAAGCCACCTGGATCAATAGATGAGAAGGTTTAAATCAGTTTTGTGCAACTGGAGTAACACAAAAAAAGGGATGATAACATCTGGTAAAGTAGAGTTAGAAGCATCATACTGGGAGAATAGTCAATACTGTGAGAGTAGAGTGTAACTAGCCAGAATTTTGAATTTCATATAGTAATCAAAGTACCATTACACTTATTATTAACATTATATCCTCCACAATGGGAAGAATAGATCTATTCATCTACAAAGCAACACTGTGGCTAAGTATAGATAGTCAATAAGTCTGAGGCTGAATTGATTCAATCTTGGCAAGTTAGTCTAAGATTGAACCAATAAGCAAGTGAACAGATATTCACTTTTGATTCTGGAAATGCATCCACTTGCCTGAAGTAGCCCAGGCCAGAGACTGCGGAGGAGCGGGGGGTGCTAGAGTATGCCTCCTTGCTTGGCCAGAGCAGACAACTTGGGCCAAGGCTATCCCACCCACCATGGGGGTGGGGGGGCTTGTGGGGGAAGTGCAAAGCATCCTGGGATGCTGGGGGACTATGAGTTATCTTGAATCTGGAGGGGATCTGGGACAGAATTTCAATAAACCGATTTAACCTGAATCAGTTAAGTCTACATCCATCCAGATTCATCTTAAACCAGTTTTGGCCACATTGAAAGCAGTTTACATGCACTGTACTTCTGGCATTTTACATATATGAAGCAGTTTTTGATCTGTTACACCAGTTTATGTTTCGTTTCTGTCCCTACCCTGCGAGTCTACACAGATACCAAATATGCCCATATTTTCCTCTACAGTCTGCACCATAATGCATTACCCTGTTTAATAGAGTGCTCTGTCACACAATTCTTTTCAATATTATCCCATTCCTCCTTCACTTTGGAAGGAGGTATTCTAGACTTCAAAAACTGCAGGATGGATTAAAGGCATCGATCTTTAAAAAGTCTATTTTATTATATAGTATTCCAACTTCAAATATGTGCTTCAGTTTCTCATATGTTGAAAAATCTTGATACCAAAATCTCAGGCTTATGAAATGGAGTTTTTATCTGGCAAGCTCTACTCCCAAATGCTTTACATTTCGATTTAGAAACTACAGATTTGAAGAAAGCTGTTCAAATCTGGTAAATTGGATTGTGCCATTCCATGCATTTCAGTTATTATGCCTACAGCACAAAACACTTGGCAAGTGAATCAGACAAGTCTGCTGGAGAGAGCTTGGAAGCTCTTAGGAACTCCTCAATGAACTTTATCTGTTTTGTATTGAATCTACTCAGAGGCAGCAAAGAATAGTGGAGTGAGATTCCTAGGACTTGGGTATAAACAAGAAGATAATCTTAATTTATTATCTGAACCTCATGCAGAAACTAGAGTGAGAGAGTATCTCAAGAATACAGTAGGATGACAGCATGGATTTAACACATAGCTGGTCTAACATACTAAGGGTTAAGCAAAATTTTCCCTCCCGTTTAGAAATGTCATTACTTAGCTATATGAATGAGCACTTGATCATTTATAGTAATAGCACATCACCAAAAAAGGGAAGACAAACTTGATATGATGAACAACACTTGATATAAAGTAAACCGATATGGTTTGAAATACACAAAATTAAAAAAGCATATCCTTTGTTAAATGCAACCCAGAATTTCATGGTGATTTTCTTAGGAGAGAAAGTAAAATTTATTTAAATCCAGCATGCCACAATATGAACATAATGTGTAAATTATTTTTTTTAATTTAAAAGCCTTTTATTTGCTTTGTTTTATAAATATCCCAATGATCTCTCTCTCTCAGAAGTTTTCTACACAATTTGTAGTATAAAGTCTTTTAAAATAGCATATAGCAGAATTCTGAAAATGTAACATTCTATCACAAAAGTTATTTTTTACTTGTTCATAGAGCATTTTCATTACTTTACTCTGAATTTTTTCATAGTGAAATAAATGAATTTTGAAAGCTAAAATAGACACTACCCAAATAACGTGTTTTACAGTATAGAACATTTTACATACATTACATTTCCTACTATATAATTCCAGTACATGACATGATCAAAATGAGAAAAACAAACCAAAATCCTTAAATTAGCACACAACAGAAGAAAAGGCATGCATGCTAATTATGTGCTGTTTTTCAAGTGATTCTGTCACTGACGTTAATCTTGTTTTGTAGCATTCTACACAGTTTTAGATAAAATGTAAACATGCTTATTTCAGTGGTACATACTGCTACACAGTACACATGTTTCTGGACTCTAATATTTATACTGTACATTGGAGGAAGCTGGCACTCTTCAGCTGAGGTCATAGATCATCATATCAATATGATATACATTTCCCATTTTGTAAGTTATGAATGTAATTTTACCAACACTTTACTGGTGATAAAGTCTAATGCATGGTGATTATTGCAAGAAATGCCAAATTGGTTTAACACATTCTGACAGATGGTTAGTAGGCAAATATTATTCAGTGAGTAATCTGACACACTGTGATCAGCATAATAATAGCACTTATCAATGCATTGTCAAAGCATCAATTTTTAGTGAATAAAAGTTAGAGTAGCAATGTTATTTGTCTTTTGATAAATGAGATGTCCTTTAGTAACTGCTAAAAAAATAAAGCAATAGTGTTGCAGTGCTACTGTTTGGACTCATATATTTTAAATTTGACTCACAGAATTTAATTTACTATGTTTCTCAAATGGATATATTTCCAGTCCTACAAATGCTACAGAGATGAGCAGGATAAAATTTGGGGGCAGGAGGGAATGCAATTGCAAAAAGAACAAATTCTATGCTGCTCGGAATTTGTTTATATGACAAATTTAAATACTTTACTAATTATTCTTACTTGTGAATTTAGATATGAAGTTCCTGCTACTGATTCTCTGTTGCCAGTGAATAGCTGTTAAAGATACTTTCTTTTACACAGTTAGCTGTTGAAGAAAGATTTTTATGTGTTGTATTATTTGCTTTTCATTTACTTTATAGTACATAAACTTATTATTTTAATGTCATCATTGCTCCTGATATTGAAAGGAAAACAATGTATATTGAGACTTGTTCAGTGATTACCGTAGCTGCTATTGCATTTTATAAATAACAAGTAAACTTTCATAGTGAACATAAACTATTTAAAGATATTATTGTACGAATGTGTATTGTGTAACAAAATGCTGATTCATATTTTTCAAAAACCTCTGACTTTGCAGAGCAGAGAAAGTTAATTTTTGTGCTCAAACCATATAATGGCTTAGATCTGAGTCTTCCCTACAGTGGAGGACTGCTGAAATGTATATAGTTTTTATTGCATTCTGGAACTTGTTTCTTCTCCTCTTGTCACAGTTTTACAGAACTGTACTCAAGTTTTATTTCACCAGAAGTATCCATCATGGCAACTTCACTACAACAACACAGGCACCAGCTCTTCCAATATTGACAGGGACTTCCTAAATGGAAGAAACATTTTGTTTAGTTAACTTTATATAAACTATGATTCACAGATATAAAGCCAAGTAGGTTACTTTCTCTAAAAGCAATGTTTTTCTAGCAGATGGAAATTAATTAAAGAGTGTCTTTCTAAGACTCATGAGATATTTGCTACTAGCATGATTTTTTGCAGGGGTGACTGGTGCCTCCTGAGTTTCTGGGGCACACTGCAGACTGGAAGTGGCCGGCCCAGCAAATTGCAGACCATTGGCCAGAACACAGGTAAAGCTACCTCCACCCTGCAAGCGGGGGAGGCAGAGTGGGCCCAAACCTCAACTGCAGTTGCCATGGGCTGGCTGCAGATGGCAGGGGGGCTCCATATCCCAACCCCTGCACCCTAGCTTCATGATAGCTGTAGCCAGGAGCGGTAGCACAGGGCTGCCCCACCCAGCTTTTTGCTGTGCCAAGAACTGGGGTTGAGGGGGGGAATGCGCCTCCCCCCCCCCAAGGGGCAGAACTGGCCAAGCCCAGTTTTGTCCCACCCCCAACTGTGAAACTGCATACAGCAAGCTGTGAGGGTGATTCATGGCAAGGGGGCTTCTTTCCCCACAGGGCCCAGTTCAGAGCATAGCAAAAAGCCAGGCCAGGCAGCCCTGAGCTGCAGCTCCTGAATGCAGCTTTCAAGAAGTGGGGATGAGAGAGAAAAGAGGCCCCCTGCCACACAGACCTGGCTTGCTTCTTCTCCTCCACTCCTGAGACCCTAGCCAAGCAGCTGGGAGGGGCGAGGCAACAACACACACCAAATGGTGAATATCTGCCCAGTTCATTCCT